ACTCTTCTAAAATTTTTTAAAAAATGTATAACTAGAATCTTTGGTAGAAAACTTGCAACAATTTGAATAAATAGAGAAATCTTACAAGGTTTCAACTTTGCTAAGCTTCTTGGTAGCTTGACTGAAACACCTATTCATATAATTAATATGTTGATAAAGGATACAAAAGATAATAATAGAGAGTTGTGGATCCTATTCCAGGATATAAAAAAAGTATTTGATTTAGTTTTACTAAGTATGCTTAAGTTAGCTTTATGAAAAATTAAAATACCAATAGCTATAATATAGTTTATTATGAACCTTTTTGAAAAAAGAAAAGCCAAGATAATTATAACTATAGACACAACAAAGTTATTTAAAACACAAGATAAAATTGACCAGAAAGAGGTAATTCCTTTTCTTATCTGGTATATTTTCTATAATCCACTTCTGCAAAGAATTAAACAAGATCCAGAGTTGAGCTATATAATTAAATCTAAAAAATTAGCAGAATTTGCTAGTGATCTTTTAGACAATGCAATCATTAGGCACTTAGTAATAGCCTATACAGATGACATAATATAGTTGGCAAGTAACAAAAATCAAATACAAAAAATTATTAGTTTGGCTAAGGAATTTTTAAAATTAATAATATAGAGATTAATAGTAGCAAATCGAAACTACTAATACTAAATACAAAAAAGAAAGCAGAAAATAGATCTATAAAGTCCAATAGTATAGAAGTAAACACTTTTAATCTTTTGTTAGAATATTAGATATATATAGAGTTTGAAACTATATTTGGTATTCAGATTTAAATTTGATTTTCTCTAGATTCGGATTAAATCCAAATATAAAATCGAAATACCAAATCTAACATGATCCAAATCAGATTGAGTATCACATATAGACGATTAATGCCTATTTCTAGAAGGCAATATTTTTTATCATGACCTATATATATTTTTACAGAGAACTAAAATCTGTATGGGAAGCAATATATTGCGACCCATTGTTGATCTATACATCCTCATAATAGCTTGTAATTAGTTTTCATAGAGAACTAAAGTTTATATAGAAAGCAATAAATTTTAACTTTTGGCTTTATGCCTTCACAACGGTTTATAACATATTTGTTTTTTGAGAAAACTAAAGTTCATATAAAAAGTAATTAAATTTAGCTTTATACTCTTATAATAACTTATATTTATTCTTTGCGGGAGCTAAAGCTTATGTATGAAGCAATAAATTATAATCTATATTCTTGGGTTTTATGCTTCGTAATATATTCACTATTACAGTATTTTTTGCGAAAACTAAAGACTATACTAATATATTTTCAGGAAGCAATTAAGTTTGATCTTTAAGCCTTCACAATAGTTCCTATAGAAAACTAAGATTTGCATAACAATATTAAATAATTAATAAAGTATAAATATTGTAAATATAGTGAACAAGAAAGTTTGAATAAAAAAATGGCATCTTTATCTGTTCCTTCTTCTGACCTTGATATTATTGAGCCAACTTCTTTCTCGTAAGCTGAAACATCTGCTTCTACAAATTCAATTCCCTTAAAAAGTCACAAGAAATATAAAAGTAATTTAAATAAAAGTGGCAAGAATGGTAGAATTAATAAAAGTCACATATCTTACTTTTTTTGCAAAGATACCAAAAATCATGATCAAGCATATTGTAAAATATGCAAGCAAAAGCTTGCTGGTACCAAAAAAGAACCTTACCTCTATAGTTGTAAAGGAGGTATGACCTCAAATATTGCTAATCATTTATATGAAAGACATGGTATAATGAAACAAAATTATTGAGATTATTTGAATGCAGATGAAGAAGTAAGAAAATATATGCATATGTAAAAAAAGCTTAATTATTTATTATAACAAAGTTTATTTATTTATATTAAATTAGCCAAAAAAAAATCCAATGTTTGTGCCTCAATATAGCAAGACTTAGCAAAAAGAACTTTCACAATTTTTAATTAAATTTATAGTCAAGTTTGTAGAGCCATTATATATTCTTCAAAATAAAGATTTTTATAAATTTGTTCATGACTATGAGCCAGAGTTTTATATACTATGTAATAAAACTGCTCAAAAATTAATTCACAAAGCATATTTATAGAGTACAGGTCAATTAAATAATTTACTTAACAATTCAGCTATATTAGTTCATTTGACAACAGACCTTTGGATAGCTAAAAGTAATTACGGGTATATTGGCCATCTGGCTTGCCTCTGGTTTTACATTTCATGAAGTTTTATTAACTTGTGATATTCTTGACTATCCACATACTGGTAAAATCATTAGTGATGAGTTGTATTATATTATTCAGCAGTAACATCTTACTAGTAAAGTTTTTACTATTGCTACAGACAATGGGCAAATATGGTGAAAGCCATCCTTCTTCTTAATAATTTTTTGCCTTTTATTGAAAGGCAACCTTGCACAGCCTACACCTTACAATTATCTATACATGAGGGTTTAAAAGAATACAAACATATACATAGACAAATTAAAAGTTTGCAGTTATTTTTTAAATCACCAAAACAAGCACAAAGGTTAAGAGAGGTGCAGCACAATAATAATCAAGTTAAAAACAATGAAAACATTGAAGCACCAATAAGTCCTTTAGATGTCTTGCTTGACACCAAAACCAGATAGAATTTTACTTTCATAGCATAGAAATGGCTTCTTGAATTACACAATTCCATATATTTGGTTTCAGAATCACTGTTAATAAAACAGAATCATATGTCTCAAAAAGAAAGAAAAAAGTTCGACAAATTATATCTAACATCTGAAAAAAAAGCGTAAGTATTTTATTAAATTAGAGAATTGGTATTTTATATTCTTGTAACTATAAAATCCTAGTTCTCTAAAAAAATCTTTTTATTGATTATATGATTATATATTTTATATGGCTTCGTATTTATGAATTATCTAGCTATATTTTAATAATTTATATATATAAATCCATCTCTCTGATATATAATTAGAGTTTTATAGCTTTAAAGTTTAAGAGTTTGAACCTGGATACAAAAAATTGTTACCCAGATAAAATTGCATATCAGGTAAATATGAAAAATGTTTTAAACCGTGATCTTAAAAATCATGATTATTTTAATATTGATACATCTTGACTTATTAAATCATATTAATTTATAATTTTATTATTATGTAGATTTTTTTAAAATATATATTGTAGAAGGCTTTCACTAAAAAAAATTATATAAACATTGCAAAAAAAAAGAAAGATTTTTTTTTTAAATCTAACTGCCAAGAGTGTTACAAATATTAAATTAACAATTAGAAGCAACAGTTCTAGTTTCAACTAAATTCTAGTCTCAGTGTCAATGTTTTAAAAGTTTTTTTAAAATAGTTTTTTTTCATCTCTAAAATCAGGTACTGTACACTATATTTAGCGCAAGAGTGGTTTAGTTTGTCTTTTAACTAATCTAATATTATATATATATATTTTACCCATAACCAATTTCACAGACTTTCTTGAAATATTATTCAGGTTTAAACTCTTAGAACATTGTCAATTTTTATGAAAGGATGACTATTATGACAGAAATTTGAGATTTTCTTATAAGCAAGATGCTAAAATTCAATTGTTATACACTATGATCTATTGAAAAAATTTTAATTTTCATAAATTATTGAATATAACAATTAAGAATTACCTATTTTTAGTATCATTAGTTTTAACAAATGATTTTTGGTATAAAAAGCTATCCAAAACTGTAAAGTCAGCAATGCTAATTTAGAGTGTTCTCAAGTTGTATTTATATATCCTAATTATATTAAGTTGTCAAAAACACTCTTTGTAAATTAGAAATAACTAAATATATATTTTAAAATTTAATTCAACTATATATTAATTTACTTTTTAAAAATTTTTTATTTTATATACAGTTTCGTTAAAGAAATAATCCAACTATTAGAACCATTTGAAGCTTTGATACTGCAATTATCAGGTGCCAAATATTTAACACTTAACTTAGTACATCTATGTATATATATATTAAAACAAATATTTGCTCCAAAAATTGAACAAAATGAAACCATTGATAGTTATATGAATCTTATCTATGGCCTTTTAATACAAGATAATATTTTAGAAAGTGCTAAAGATGATGATGATTCAAGCTCTACAAGTGATAATAATAATATTCTGACTGCTAAAAATTAACAACAATTGAGATATGCCTACTAACAATTTAAACAATAAATAAAATATATATGAAGGCAAGGTAGAGGTCAAGATAAATACTGGAATTTTTAGTTGACTAACCAATCAACTAGTCTTTGACTAACTAAAAATTAGCTGATTGTTAATATAAAAAAAAAACATTAAACAATAAATTAGTCAATCAAAATTATCAATTATATGTATACTACTAAGTGAAAATAAGATTCTGGATTTTCAAACTTATCATTTATTATAGTGTTTGTTAAATTTAGCCTAACAGTAACATATAATATATATGTTACTAATCAGATTTTGTGGGCTAAATATAGTAAAGAATAAATAATAAATTTAAAAACATAAAATCTTATCTTCTCTTGGTAGTACTATATAGTATTTTAGTTGATTTAAAGTTAAGTAATCTATTTTTATTCTTAGGTCGAGGTTGAGGTCAAAGTTATAATAGAACTAAAAAAAATGGAAGTATAAATGTAAATATTAATCAAATTGAATATTTACTACCAGTGAGCACAGAAAATCTTATCCAAAGGGTCCATGCAGCTATATATCTTTTCTTGGATAAACTATAGAAAATACTAAATAAAATATCTTTAATTGCGATGATTTTAAATCCTCGAATAAAAAGTTTCTCTTTTGCAAATAGTCTTGACCATGTATAACAATGAACACAAGCTGAGTCTCTTTTAAGAAACTTATATACTCAACTTAAGCAAGATTCAGCAACTAGTAAAAATGTTGAAGAGCATGCAGCAAATTTAAATAATATTAGTACTGAGAATATATTTGCAAAAATATGAGTAATAACCAAGTACCAGAAGAAGATAAAGTTACTCGTTATTTATACTATCCTAATGAACCAAAAAATATTGATTCTTTGATTTGGTAAAAAGGGCATCAGGTAAATTATCCCTTGTTATCACAACTAGCACATAAGTATCTTTCGATATCTGCTATATCTGTTTCTAGTGAATGGCTCTTTTCTGATAGTGGCAACTATATTTTGGCAAGAAAAACATGATTAGCACCTAGCTTAGTTAATAGTATCTTATTCTTAAAACGTAATACTATATATTTTTCTATGTTTCTACCTTTAGAGGCCAATGAATAGTTCTTTTTCTTTGCTTGAATTTAATAAAATTAATTTAATAGAAGTTTTGTTAGCCTGAATAGATTAAAAATATAATAAATAAAAATAGTAGTTATGAATTGTAGAAAGTGCAATAATCTAAAAAAGTCTTTTAGTTAAATTATTTTTTTAAAATATTTAAATAAACTAATTTTTTTTAATCAGTTCACTACTTATAGTTGTAAAGATCCTTTTTCGAATTTATATAACATCACAAAAATCCTCAAGAATCTCTAAAAAATTTAATTAAATTAGAAATTCTTCATATTAACATCAAAAATAGTTTTACAAAAAAAAAAACCTAAGAATGCAGATTATCATTATGGCAATACATATTCGTGAATGCATATAACCAATCACAATGAATTATTAAATCTATATCATAATATACAAGTTATATTCAGTTATCGATTAATAATCCAAATTTAAATCTGAAGCTGCAGATCACTAATTAAATAAATCTAGATTTAAAAAAAAAATTTAACTCTAAATATATAGTTATATGAAAAAATGAAAGAAGTAGATATCAAAAAGAAAGCAAAAAATATAGTACAACAGTTTACTCTTGTATTAAATCTAAAAAAGTAATTATAAACCAATTAGCATATTTGAACAATATATGCTTAATTTCTAAACTAAGCTATATATTGCAATTAACAAAAATTACAACAAAAGCTCACAATAGTATATATTAACTATATATCTGTTTGTTTAAAAATAAACTAGAAATAGCAAGATTAGTAGGAAACTTTATTGTTACTCATAGAGGTTTAGGTGGCTGTAAAGTATTATTAGTACATGACATTATAACAAAACAGATAAACTATTTATATTATAGACTAAACAGTGAAGATACTATCAAAAGTCTAACAAGAGCACAAATTAAGCAAGAATTTTGAGATATTTGTATAACAAGTAATTATTAGAGTAGTGGAAAAAAAAATCTATAAAAAAAAATATAGAAAAACAATTTAGTATGTCTTATTATATTATATGTTAAAGATAATAAAATTGACTTTGTTTTAGATGATAGCTTTTTTTTTTTAAGAAATAAAAACACAAAATTAAAGATATTATAAATTGGTTAATTTTCACAAGAGTATACAAAGTCTTAAGCATGCAAATATTTTCTTTCTAAATCAACTTATTAATATAGATGAGAATACTGCATTAATTTAGCAAGAGTTTAAATTAATAAAAAAAAGATCAAGCAAGGGAAGGAAGGCTAAATGGTTTACAAAACTAGAAAGTAAAATTCTAGAAAACAAGAAGAAAAGATTGACTAAACAGAATTTTTATACATTATCACCAAATGAGTTTATGCTAAAACTTAAGCTAGATCATATTAAAAAAGACAAGCAAAAAAAAAAGAAGATTATTTTCTAAGCTAAAAATAATTAGAAAACTCTTGGTTAAGTTATTTAGAAAAATAGTACTCAAGTTACAATTAAATGGTAGGATAGGGATAATAATAAAAAAAAAATATAGAAGAGATAAGTCAACTTCAAGTCTCTAATAATACTGGTATAAGAAATAAGAAGCATATAGTACAGTGTTGTTAATTTTTGCTTCTAGTAGTAATTCTCAGCCTTCTAGTGGAAATTTGTAATAGTAAAAGTTCCAGTAGTACTATTAATATTCTTCTAGTGGAGTTCCAGTTGTCTTCCAGTAGTTTTCAGTTAACAACACTAATATAGTATATATCAATCAGTCAAAAATTTTAGGTATACTTCCCAAATTGCTAATCAAACAAAAAGAAAACTTTCTATCAGTACTTAAGTTAGTGTTAACAGAGAGTACTAGCAATAAGATAAATCTTGAAGCAATTGAGTCTATACTAACTTAAGTAGAAAAATTAGCAATAGAAATTATAAAATCTCAAAACTTTAAAAAAAAACTTTAGGATTATCTAATTAAACAATATAGTCAGATTAGAAATTAAAAAGTTAAAATACAAATTTATATTGACAGATCACTAGCAGACTTATTTGGTAGCAAAATAATAGGAGCAAGTTAAATTTGGATCAATAAAGATAAAAATTGTAGTATAGTAAAGGGTAATCTGAAATGCAGGAGTGTAGAACTTGGGCAGACTACTTAAATAGACAACCAAAAGTTGTACGTGTGGCTAGTTGTACCCTCATCATAATTGTAAACATTGTTAATTATCTAATAAAAAGCCCCCGGCCATAGAGATCACCTTAACACTAAAAAAAAAAAAAAAAAAGAAGACATACTAAAATTAATTAGATTTAGAATTTTTATGAAAATTTTTTTAATTATTCAAAATTAAATTTATTTTACATAGTTAAAATTACTTTAACTTAAAAATTTTTGAAACTTTTTTTAATATTAAAAATATCTATAACTTTATAATAATCTAAAAATGTCTAGATATATACCCTATTTGTACTCATTCATTTTATTCAAGAATTGAATATAGTTAATATATGATAAATATGTTAAAATAGCTAACAATAAAGATAATAGTCAAATACAAAATCCTTATAGTAAAAGCTATAATTTTATGAAAAAATTAAAAAAATTCAAGATAATAGATCTAGTAACAATAATTTGATTAACTTATTTTCTAGCTCTGAAAATAAGTTATTTAGTTCTAAAAAAAATTTTATAAGCAATATTAAGTTTGAAATTCAATCTTATAAAACTACAGATAATATTTGTCTAATAACTTCCAATCAGAAAAACCTTTGTGATATTTCAAAAAACTTCGAAGCAGATGATAATATGTCTTTTAAATTAGAAGTTGAGAATAATATGAGCTTTGAAGTTGCAAATAATAAAGAATTTATTAAAATTTTTTAAGATAATTTGCAGAATTACAAAGATATTGCTAAAGATTTAGAGACCTTAATAAATCTTAATGAATTTTCTAGCTCAGAAGAAGAAAATTTAAAAATTTTTCTAATAAAGCATATGCAGATTTAATAGATTTGGTTACTAAGTTTAAACTAAGTAATGCAGTAGGAAATGCTATCATCAAATTTTTTAATAAGTATTTAAAACTTTCTAAATTGCCTTTACCTAGTAATATTTCACAAAGCAAAACATATATGAACAATATAAAATTAGATTTGTTTTATAAAAAGACTTGTGTATTAAAACTTAATAACACTGAATACTTTTTTTATTAAATTCTAATTCTTAAATATATTAAAAATATTTTAAAAATTCTTGGCCTTGTACAAAATTTTGCAATGAATTTCAAAGAACTTAGTAAAATTTCTAAGATATGTTTATATTTTATATTATTTTAATTTTTAAATTTGTTTATACTGTTAAACCTCCCCAAACCGATATGCATGGTGGACCGATTTTGTATCAGTCCTGAAAAGTTATCAGATTTGAAAAACATTATAAACTATTAGATTTATATAACGGAAACGGACTTTGTAGACTAATTTTTTATCA